GGACCCCGCACCGTGACAAGACGCCTCCCAAACACACACTGTTCTGTCACCAGGAGGGGGCTAGCATCATCAGCAGTGAAGGGGGGCAAGACAGAGACTACAGCTCCCTGCCCCCTGCCCCAGTGCCCACCACCGCTGCCCTGTGAGGCCTTCCCTCACAACCTGGGGTCCCGCCCGGTCCCCACGCTGGAACAGGATAACCCTTCTCCAGCCTCGTGTTGGCTTCAGCCACCTTCTCGCTTTAAATGATTTCATGAGGTCCCCTGCCATTAGCAGCCGCCTGCCTCCCAAATAACCAAAGTCGAACCACCGTCGGGTCGGCCGCAACTCATCTGGATCCGACAGGGCGGAGTAGAACTGCCTCCGTGGGGTCTCCGGTGGGTTCCAAATGCAGACCTCGTGATTACCAGCTCTCTCAGCGGGAGGTCTGTGGCCACCCGGGTGTGCCTCGGAAGAAAGGCCTGGCCACCTCCTTCGGAGAAAATAGCCACTGGAAAGCCACATGGTGTAGACGTCCACTCTGACACCCTCGGGGCTGCCATGGGCCCAAGGAGGCCCCATCATAACCAGAAGTGCTGGGCTACACGGTCCTCAGCTGGGCTCCGCCTCCCAGTCTTGGCTCCCCTTGCTGTCCCCTCCTCTCCAGTGCGGCCACCCCTCAGCAGTCTTTGCAATTGCTCGCACACGCAGCTGCAGGGCTCCCCTTGCGCCTGCAGGCCTTTCTGCCTGGAAGGCTGCTTCTTCCAGTCCTTCACGTGCCAGAGCTGTCGGCTGTCGATCTGGGCTCGTTCAGGACCCGGACAGCGGGTCTCGCTGGGTGGCCCTCCATGCCAATCCCCTGCCTTCCCTGCAGCTGGTGCCATGAGGGCAGGGGACAGGGCTGCCCCTGCTTGTCACTGCAGCACCATCTCCGAGCCCTGCAGCCCTGGGGCTACGGTGGCTGAGTGACGATGTGTTTACAGGACGCCTGTGGGATGCTGGTGCTGGAGCTGGTGGGAGGACTCCCTCCTGGCAGGTGATGTCCCTGCGTGTCCCCTGCTTGTGGGTAAGTTGAGTCTGAGGGTGCCTATTGTTCTCCCTGGTTTGCTGGTGACCTCTGCCCCGGGAGATGGGTGGACTCGGTGGCCGGACAGGATCAATGTGGCCGCATTGTGAAGATGACGCAGGACAGGGCCGTGCTTCCTTCTGTCGCACGTGAGGCCATCGCCCATGTGGGGAGCTGGCTGGACAGCTGCTGGGGCCGCCGCCCTGGGGCAATCCCGTCTGGATTCAAAGCACAGACGTGGTCTTCTGAGCAGCAAGGCCGGAGAAGTGGTCTTTCTTTGTACAGCAGGGCCAGAGGCAGGTGTGTGTGCGAATGCTTCAGGAATTTGTCTCCTAGGTGAGAGTGGGGTGGGGTAGGAGGAGTGGGAGCAAACCCCTTCACTCCAGACCAGAACCAAGCTTTTAACCCCCAATTCACATGGTCACCTGTAGCCACTGCAAGACCAGGTTGGGTCCATGTGCTGGGTAATTGCCACCATCCCCCAGGTCTGAGAACGCCCCACGGGTCCGACCTGGCCCACACCTGCCTCTGCCCCTGCCCCTGCCCACACCTGCAACTCAAGTCTTAACTAGTGGTCACCCAGGCACAGAGGCCAGGCACTCTCAACCTGCTCACCGCTGGAACCCTGACCCCGCTTTGGTGGGTGTCTGTGGGACGCTGAGCAGGGCTCTGGTGGGGGCTGCCCGTCTGCCTGCTGTCCCCGATCTTGCCTTTGTCTGGGGACAGGGTACTGCAATTTGTGTCACGCGCTCACTGTGCAGCCTTTTGGCCCCGGCGTTCTGAACTCCGCGGGGATCTCTTCACATCCATTGAGCGCGTGGCTGTGCCCAGGGATGGTGTGCTTGGTGATGTTCCCTTGTGTCTGTGTACACCTCGCCATGGGGCCAGTCCTGCTGGCGGGCATCTTTGTGACCCTCCAGCAGGTTGGCTGCCGACTCTGTAGGGCTGCGGGCTGAGTGGCCTGCCCCTTTGATCTGGTGCAGGGGAGTTCGCTCCCTCCCCAGTGGCACACTAGCCCGGCACACGGGGCTTGGTGGGGGCGGGTTACCCTCGTCTGGTGCCCAGCCTGGCAAGACCAGTGCCTCTTGGGTCCTCATCCCTTTTTTGGGAGGGATTCTCGGCGTGGTCGGGATACCCCCATTCCCTGCAGGGGCTCTGGGGGCTGAGCCCGTCCACCCTGCACTCTCTCAGGGGGCAGTGCCTTTGCACCAAGGGGACACATGCCCATTTCTAAAGAAACCCAGGCTGGCCAGGCAGACCACACATAGGGAGTGGCTAGGCCCCCTTCCTGAGTTGAGGGTTACACATGCGGGGCATGATGTACGTGTAGGGGAAGAAGGGGGGGGGCGCAATGCTTCTTCTGACAGCTTGAAGGTATCTAAAAGCTTCCCCCTCAAAATACCGGGAACCCCTAATGGCCAGGAAGGGTCCATTGGAGACAGACCGTCCCCTTTCTCATGGCCTCTTGGCTCCCACAAAAGCTAAAATCCAAACTCACTGCCATCAAGTTGACACCAACCCGTAGTGACCCTCTAGGGCAGAACAGCCCCTGTGGGTTTCCAAGGTTGTAACTCTTCATAGGAGTAGAAAGCCTCATCTTTTTCCTATAGAGCGGCTGGTGGTTTTGAACTGCTGACCTTGTGGCTGGCAGCCCAACATGCAACCCATTATGCCACCCAGGCTCCTCTGGTTTTGGTCCCCACAGAACCCAAACATCAGCCAGCGGCCCTTAGGTCGCCTCTGACTCATGGGACTCCATGTGGGTCAGAGTCCCTGTGTGCTCCAGAGGCTGATGTTTGCAACGACTGGCTTTTTCAAAAGCAATAGCCAGACCTTTCTTCCAAGGCACCATGGGGTGTTCCAGAACCTCTTACATCTGGGAGAATCATTTGTACCTTCCAGAGACTCCCACGCCAACAAACTGGTCCCACCCCCAAATACGCCCCAAGCTAAACAGAAAGCTCCTAGACCTGCTGACTGGGCCGCATTTCTGTGTGCCTGGCACAGTGCTGAGGTGACTTGCTAGCTCCGTGGGCTAGACATTGGGTTGTTATCTGCAAGGTTGGAGGTTCAAACCCGCCCACAGCTCCATGGGCGAGAGATGAGGCTGTCTGCTCCTGTAGAGATTTACAGCCTCAGAAGCCTACAGGCACAGTTCTAACCTGTCCTATAGGGTGACTGTGAGTCGGAACTGACTGATGGCAGGGAGTTTGGGTGGTTACAGGATCACGGACCCTAGAAAGGAGGTGGCTGGAGACCCCAAGGCACTGCGCCTCATCTTGCATCTCTGAGTCAAGACAGAGCTGAGAGGCCAGAGTCCTGTCCCCAGAGATGACAATGATAGGATTGTACCTTGCACTTAGAAACCTGCAGGCACGACGGGATATGAAAATGCTGTGTTTCTTCTCTTTCAGAGAGGATGTGGATGCACATTAGTGGAGGGTCATCCGAGGCTTCCTCCTGAGGCTGAGAGTCTCAAAACTGCCAGTCCTTACCGCTGTGTGGAATCCCTGAGTGGACTGTCCTCTTTCTGCCACCTCTTTACTCTTTGTGAAGCAGCCCTGGTGGCACTGTGCTTAAGCATTGGCCTGCTAACCACAAGGCCAGTGGTTTGAACCCACCAGCTGCTCCATGGGAGAAAGTGGAGGCTGTCTGCTCCCATAAAGAGTTATAGCCTCAGAAACTCGAAGGGCCAGTTCTACTCTGTCCAATGTGGTCTCAAGGAGTCAGCATCTACCCGATGTCAGCGAGTTTACTCTTTGCAGACGATGATCGATGATCGCACAATGTCAGCAAATGAGGGAAAGGCGGGGTCCTCACCATTTAGATCTTCCCCAATCCTGTCCTTTGGAAAACAGCCTTTCCAGCCATTGCTTCAACACGGATCGGACCAAAACATGTCTCTTGCGGATAACTGGTGAGTCTTGAGCACTGGGTTTGAATTGTTGTCAGGGGCCCGACTCATGCCCGCGGAAGGAAACAGAATACCCGGTTCTGCGCCATCCTCACCGTTGCGACCAGGGTGAAGCCCTGAGTTATAGCCATTATGTCAATCCATCTCGTTGAGGGTCTTCCTTGGCACTTTTTGTTTTTGAATTAAACATGCCCGGCATTTTCATCGTGAGTTACCTGTTGGACTGCTAAACACAAGGTCAGTGGTTCCAACCCACCAGGCACTTCTTGGGAAAAAGAGGA